TTGCTCAGGCTGGTCTTGAACTCCTGACCTTGAGCGATCCACCTGCCTCGGCCTCCCAGAGTGCTAGGATTACAGGCGTGAGCCACCGCGCCCGGTCTATTCTTAAGAAATAATCTCCCCTTTAAAACATGGAAAAAACAGATAGTTTAACAAGAGAACTCACTTGATACATGACATGTGATCCGTGGACTAATGCTTGAGCCCACTGTTGCAAGGATGTATGCAATTTATTTGAGATTGTATGACTATGTAACACACGGCTATCAAATATTTTGTCTTATTATTTCAACATACATTTGTGATATGTTTTTATAAAATGAAGTGATTTAACTTTTCTATTTTTTTTTGGTTCAAGTCTATGAATCAAATTTTGTAGCCATCAGATACCATTTTTCTGTGTGCCTACTTTGATCCATGTATGCAGTATCTCTCATGAGTTCCTGTTAGTGTTCTGTCAATACATCATACTACTTTGTAAAGTCTGCTGTAGTCAGATAAGTTTGCAAACCACTGCTCTTAACCCACTTTAATGATCTCCTCACCTTTTGGAAGCCTGGCATCAAGGGTATCAATATGTGTAACAGCAACAGTGGCTTTTCTCCTAAGATTAATCACTTTAATAGATTTGAAAGCCCTTTCTCTTCATCTCATTTGATTAACATTTGATTAACATATTGACCGAAAGATTAAAAAGATTGGGTAATGGATTGGCAGAGAACATGATAAATTTGCTTGACATAAATATTGTTACATAAATACCCAACTAAGCCAGTCATGTAAGGATTAATGCATAAAACACAAATACGATTTGCTTAAAATCTTTCAGTGGCTTTCCCTTGCTGCACGGCTACATCCAAACCCTTAAGGGTGGCCTATAAAGCTTTTCCAAACCCTGGCCCTCTCCCTCCACCTGTCTCTCCCCACTGCCCATATGTACCACAAGCTCCATATAATAGCCAACAAATCTGCAATACCTAAGTAAGCTACCAGTTTAGTTTCCAAACCTCTCTTGTATCCATCTGGATTGCCCTTCTTTTTCTTACTCAATCTTCCCCTTATTCTTGGCACACATTCTTCAAGACTCAGCTCAGACAACACCTTCTTGAGAAAGTCACGTTAAATGTCCTTAGATTGAGCTTCCATGGCCCTGGATACCCCTCTCACAACACCTATCACACTGTTTTATGATAGCTAACCTATTATTCATCTCTCCTCTACTCTGTTTCTTTGCACATAAAGACCACATGGAATGGTTTGTCTATAGTTTTTAAGCTTAGTATTCCTTGTACTTAGCACAGTGCCTACCTTTCAAATACTTTAAGTGAAAGAATGAGATTTTCTTGCATAAAATGTACTAAATATGTACTTAAGAATATACAAGTACTTTGAAGATAATTATCTCTAATCAAACAGGTTTTTAAAAATCACTTCAGCTCTACACACTCTGAGTATCTGCTGAGCAAAAGACTTTTCCAATGAAGGCACATTATTTGGTCAGCTACAAGTTGCAGAACTCCCCAGCCAAAATTATGTGACCTGCAAAAAATGACAATCTGTCCTGGCAGCTGTTACCAAATTCCCAGACACCCTACAGCCTAGAGTTAGAACTTCTAATTTTAAGCATCTAATTTAGAACACATGCCTCCTTGGCAACTGGTCATCAGACTTTTCAACCTACCTTTTCTCCTTCCTGATGAGAGATGCAGACTTCAGGACTTGGGGGCACATTCTCCTTTTGCTCCAATTTATGAATTTTGACTTCACCACCACTGGCTTTCAACTCATTCTACAAAATAAAAATAATCTGTGAATTTTTTAAAAAAAATTCTCATCATTCCAGTCCTCTTCATAGCACATCTATTAAATAAACTTGGAATGTTAAAAAAAAAAAAAATTCTTCTAAGAGGCCTCAGGTCAAATCAAACCCCTAACTCTCACAAGCAAAACCCACTGACTTAGTGAAATGACAAAAGCAGCTTTGTGGACACATATCTCAGAGTTAAATTTTGGATACTAGTCTAAAACTGGATGCTCATTAGAATACAGACACAGACACACACACAAAGACGCACACACACAGATCACCCCCCCACACATACAATGTTCTTGTGATTCACTCTTCTAGCAGCAGAGCTTGTGGGAGTGCAAAGCTTGTGATTTTTATCAGAAAAAACCATTCTGGAGCAGGGGAAAGGAGATGCCAAGTGCCAAGAATTAAGAAAATATACTAACCATATACATATAAGTGCCCGCCTGGCCTGGAAAGAGAGACAGGGATGACGTATACATATAAAAACTGAATTTATATTTAATGATACCATAAAACAATCTTTTTTGTGGGACTTTCCAAAACATGTCTTTCACATAAAATTCATATATTGTACTAAATACATACCTGATTCTACTTTCTATAACAGAGCCTCAACATAAAAAAGCACACATCAACCCTGTCATAAGGATTAAGTGTAATCACATTCTTTTCCTTGCAAAAGGATACTTGGGGCAGAATATTAAATGGACTCATCTACTAAATATAAAATCAGCATAGAAGTAGATGAATAGGACATTTTCTACCTTTAGCCTGCTAGTAATTTAGCAATCTAGTACCTTTCGGTTCTCTGTGATTCTTTAGGCATGGGAGGAAACAAGTAAGTTATGGCCACAGGGCCAATGAGGGGAGTGTGGCTGACTTCCTCAGGTACAGCATTCCAGGTTAAGGCACACAGCTCCGGAGGTGAATCTACGAGTAGGAGCTGGCAGGCAGCACTGTAGAACACATGACAGCCAAACAACTCATTTCTGACCCCATCTCCAAAACCACTGTGCCAAAAGTATGTGCCTTTTTACGATCATATTCTGTAAGGGACCTGGGAAATTCTTTTGGGATGAGATAAAAAGTACTTTTTACAAGAATTTCTAAAGACTTTTCAACTCTTATAATCTCCAGAGCAGGAGAACTGTAATGCAGACACTCTGTTAGGAGTTTTAAAAAAGTCACTGAACAGGTTTTCCCACTTAGGGAGTCACCTGGTCAGGATGTTTACAGCAGGAAGGGACCGAGAAGCAGCAAAATCCTGTAACAAGAGGAAATTAAGCTTCGCAGATCACCTATCTCCTGACCTGCCTTCTAACAGGAGTCTAAATCTGCTCATTTTTCACACAGTGAATAACGAGCCTGTGATGTTCCACTTTGCTATTGATTTACACAAGTCATCTCTTCTTAAAACTACAGTAAAAAATCAAGATGAAATTATTCATTGCCCAACAAATGAGTCCACCAACACTACTGGAGAATTATGTAGGGGAAAGGTTTAACACCTGGAATACATGTTATGATTTCTAATACCCACACCAGTTTCAGTCTGCCTAGGAACAAGTAAAATTCTTCTAACTTTGTTAAAAAATTAGGATATCAAGCGATTAATGGTTTGTAATTTGAACTCTTAGAAGGAACAAATGTTTGAAAGATACATATATACATGTGTGTACATGTGTACATATGAATAAATGTCATTTAAAAGGTAACTTCAATTAAGCAGTTCCATAGCGTTGGCTTGTCAGTTAAGCACAGGACAATGTAAAATGAAAAGACCCTTCTTTCTATTTACAGTATCAAATTTTTGCACTTAGTGATCACTCATCTTCTTGTCATTTTTCTCCCTTTTTCTTATCCACTATTCCACCTCTTTAGGAAATCATTTCATCATAGGAGTAAAGACTAAATAGACCATATATTATATGATTCCTTTATATGAAATGTCCAGAATAGGCAAATACATAAAGACAGAAAGCAGATTAGTAGTTTCCAGGGTATGACAGGAGGGGCATTGGAGCGATCGCAGAGGTATGGGGCTGCTTTTCAGGGTGATTGAAAGGTTCTGGAATTAGACATCGGTAATGGTTGTAAAACCTTGTGAATATACTAAAAATCCCAGAATTGTATACTCTAAAATGGTGATTTCTGTTATGCGAATTATATCTCAATAAAAAATTGCAAAAAATACCCCACATTAACGTTGAATGCATCTGCTATTTTTCACCAATATTCTTCCTTCTTTCCTCAAAAACCAAAATAAAATAAGTGTTTCTGTTAAAACTAATAAAATACTACTTCTTTAACAACAATAAAAGATTAAGTAGAACAGCTAGGGAAACTCTTAATGACATGATTGGCTGAGAAAAAAAATAAGTGGGGTGGGAATGAGGACTAAGAAAGCAAAGTCAGGATTAGACCACGGTAAGAATTACAAACGAATGAGGGTAGGATTTATGTGAAAAGAGAATGGCTAGGGGACCAGGGAACGGACCAGGGCTCAGACATAAGGGTCTGGGTGACATTTCCTAGTCCCAGTACTCAATGACCATGTGCTAGATGAGTGAGTGAATGATGCAGAACACATACTGTGTAGTTGGTTGAACTGCTTTGTTTGGACACAGCTGCCTGGTACTTGGCCATCCGATCCTTTATGGAGGTTTCTGAGAGGCGTGGGAGTTCCAGATTTCGCCTATTCTCATTTTTGTCCGAGTTGAATGAAGAAGATGACAACTGTCCTGGAAGCATCCAAATAACATGTTTTATTAGAAGATAAAATGTGATTCAAATGATTTTGAGATTCTAAATTCTGGGCTATTGTAATCTAATGGCCAATTTCTTCTATTACAAGTACAAAGAAGGAAATTAGGAATATAATTGTCATTTATAAAATAATATTCACTCACTTTCCTAACATTAAAAGAACCCTTATCATAATTGAACACTGCATATTTTAGAACTCAATGCTGTTTGCATTTGCATTTCTTTGATTACTAGGAGGCTGATAATTTTCCTGTGTTTACTAATATTTTCTTTTGTGAAATGCCTACATATGCCCCCTTCATAATTCCATACTCTCAAGGTGTTAACGTTACCACTGGTAATGTATGATAACCAATCTTTTTTTTTTTTTTCCAATTTTAAAGCAGTCACTGTTTATTAACTGAGAAGATTACAAAAATAATCATGGTAGACACCTTAGTTTATCCTTTTAAAAAAAAGAAAATAGAGACCAGGCCTGTCTGTCTCCCAGGCTGAGCTGGAGTGCAGTGGCCTGATCATAGGTCACTGTAACTTCTAATTCCTAGGCTCAAGGAGATCCTCCTGCTTCAGCCTCCCAAGTCGCTGGGACCACAGGCGCACACCACGCCTTGCTAATTTTTAAATTTTTTATAGAGATGGAGTCTTGCTCTTTTGCCCAAGCTGGTCTCAAACTCCTGAGCTCAAGTGATCCTCCCACCTTGGCCCCCTCAAAGTGCTGGGATTACAGGTGTGAGCCACCGTGCCTGGCCAGTTCATCCTTCTAATAAGCCTGTTGATCTGGTCTTCTCTGTGGCCAGCATCTCCATCCTCTACAAAATTGTGGTCTTTTTCTTCATTCCACTTTGAGGAGAAGATAATTTGAAGGACCACAGGAAGTTACTTGTTTTTGAAGCCTTTTCTAACAATACAGATCTCATGAATCGGATCCTTCAGGCAGATGATACCATATTTATGAAGAGATCAGGCATTCAAAGTGTTATCTGTCAAGACAATTTACTTTTTATTGATTTTGCCAAAACCACGTTTACCTACATGCAATATATGGTTCTACAATCCTCAGCACGTTAACGGAAGCCTTGTTGAGCTTAACAAAGCTTCTGTTGAAGATGTGGTGAAGGAGAAGCTGCAACACCCTTCGGACCTTTGGATTCACACCACTGATACCTGTGATTCTGATGGCAAACCCCAATTTGGGTTCTGCAGGTACACACAAGTTGCCAGCTTTTCTTGCCATCCTAGCCATTCAAACCACAGTTCTGTACATCTGCCTATGTTCCTTGTGACAGCACTTAGCTTTTTCATAGATAAGCTTCTTCCTTGCCTTTCGAAGCATCTTTTGGGTAAACTTCTTTCTCAGGCACTAGACCTTCAGCTTTGCAAAATTCCTTCACTTTTTCTTAAGGGTTCTGGCACAGCAGGAACCTTTGTTTTCTTCTCTTTGACACCCTCATGGTTCCAGCCAGAAAAGAACAGGATAACCAACCTTGATAGGGGACATAGCCCACCTACTGAAGCCTTCAAACCCCAGGTGACTATGCAGCCACAACTGACTGTAGCACTTCACTTGTAAGCCCTCAAAGGTACCCTTAGGTTACCATAGGTTACCACTGACAAGGATAGATTAAAAATGCAAGAAATGCCATTTATTGAGAGCAACAGGATTTGCAAATGGCTTGTATAACAGACAGACTTCCTTTTAATTTGTGTCAATCTTCCTTTAAAAGCATTGGCTTTGAGTCCAAAAGGAATTGCTACTAATGAGTACTTCCTAGAGGACTTCACACACATGGAACTCCCTGCTTACCTGGGCCTATTTCCAAGTCATCCAGAGAATAGCTGTTTTCAGAGATTCTCCTTCCACCAGCACTTCGGCTTTGGGCCCGAAGAATCTGTTTGGAAAACAAACCCAACAATAAGCTTTGCAGAGAAGATGGTTAATCTTGATGCAATGTTCAAAAAAGCAGCTTGCAAATCTCCTTTATAAAAAAAATTCAGAAGAGATTAGATTTATATTTTTTATATTCCATAGATTTTTAAAAGATATTATAAATATCAAGCACTACATATTCACAGGTGCCCAGGGAAAAATAAGTAGCTCTATATAGGTAACGCTCTCTGCTAATCACCGCTTAACCAGCAAGCTTTGTAATTTAAACAGTCATTGGAGGGGGAATCCTCACATCCCAGATGATGACATGTCTTTCCAAACTGCCAGGCCCTCATGGCAGTATCTGCTGTTTCCTTTCTCCTCCCACTTTATCCCTGCTGCTACTGCCTTGGTTCAAGTCTTCATCATCTTATCCCTGGACTATTGCATTACATCTTTTTAATTGGTTCTTCTTCCAATCCAGTCTCTATGATGCTGCTATTATCTCAAATAATACAAAGTAATTATCCCAAAATATAAATCTATTAATATTTTATTTCCCTGTTCAAAACTCTTTCAGAATTCCCAACCACTCCTTGAATTAAACCCAAAATGCTTAGTATATCACAGAAGTCCTGTTCTAGAGCTGGTTCCTACCTACCCAGCTTCCTCTCTAGGTATTCCCTCCTTCATCCTTTACCCTCTAGGAAAAGCAAATTGCAGTGAGGCCCTGATACTGTAAATGGGGTTCCTTCCACCCAGATTACCTTTTGTCTTTCTGTTGTCTAGTAAATGCCTGTTCCTTTAAGACTCAGTGTAAGCACCTACCTCACCTACACAAATTTAGGTAATCTTTTCTCTGTTCCTGTGGTACCCTGGTCACACTTCTGTTCAATGTTTATCAAATTGTTATGTGACTCTCCCTCTACTGGACTATAAACTCACTGAGGGAATAGATCATGCCTTTTCATTCGTATATTTCCAGGACTTAAAAAAAAACGGACAGTACAGATCTTTGGAATACAGTATTTTGTGATTCCTGTAAATCATTACATTTATATTGCTCATATCTAGGGCAGATCTCCAATTAAAGTTATAAATTACAATTTTTAAGACTGGAAAAGTAACTCAAGAGAAAGCTATTTAGTGTCAAAGAATATTCCCAGACATAGTACACAAGGCGCATATCATGTTTATTCAGCTTGTAATGTGATTCTTCAACCAGATTCTATCATTCAAATCTCAATTTATTTCCAGGTAACTTGAAATTTAAAGATATACGAAATCCAGTATGACAGGAGATAAGAATAAAACACTTAGCACCCTTTTGAATTCAACATTAGTAAATAGTTATTAAACCTTTAAGTTCAATGGTCTAATCAACTTAACAATAAAGTTTAAGAAAGTAAACTATCACTTTTACAAGTTTTTTTATAGCCCCCTCCCCACCCTAGATAGAAAATATGTCACTTCAGAAATCAGAACCAAGGATTAGTTTGTTTGTACCACACCAAGAAGAATAGTTTCTTACAAATTCAGTATACATTTACTATAATTTATCTTCAGTCAGCTTTGCTATTTACATTAGTGTGTCTATTTTTAATTAAAACTAAAATATTCTGTAGCAACGCTAACCTTGCCACATCATACTCAGGCTAGTGGCACTAACATCAACTTCATCCCTATGTCTCACAGGCTCTTGCGCTGGGAGCACCCCCCCCATCTGAAAATGAAAATCATCAGCCAAGGAGGAAAGATAGGTGTGGCAGGATACCCTGCATCTACATTTTTTGTTTTGTTTTCAAACACTTCTCATTTGCTGATCATTAGAATAAAGAAAATTCCACAGATTTATCCCAAATGCTGCTGTACTAGAAGATAACCACTACAAAAATTAGAATTCTCAGGACTCAAAAAGGGAGAAAGCCTGGACATATACTTTTTTTTTTAACCAAAAGGAAATGCGTTCTGCATTCTTAATACAGGTATTTACATTCTGTCAGAGGTAAAGCTGAAGTACAATTCCAAGAATACGTGTTACATGTTGCAACCTGCAGAGAGCTCAGTTGTCTGTTTAGTTCTAGGTCCATATCCCTTTGCAGTCCCTTGTGAAGTCTCTGCACCAGTGTTACTGGGAGCACGGATATTTAGAACCAGAACACACATCCTGCCAGGGAAGAGGCTTTCTTTGCTTTTAGATGCATAAAATTTCCCATATTTGCTAGCTTTTTATTTAAATCCCTGGGTTAAATAAAATAAAGGCCTATGTTTTTTTTTAAAGCCTTTTGATCTATAGAGGTATCAACACTCTGAATTATTTTCTTTCAAGTACTAAAAAAGTGAATGTGCAAAGCTATTTGGTCTTAGAACTGTCTGAAATTCCATTATACTTGACTGTGGTTCTGAGGAGCTCTGAGATAAAACAGCTTTTAATGAGATCCCAGGTGAAGCACTGAGCATTACTCTCAATACCTTTCACTTCCAGACCACTCAACCATTACGAATAACAAGATCTCAAAGGCATTAAGATGAATTTTATGGTCCACATTTCACAAGTGGTAATCTGAACTACAGGAAGAAGGAGGGGTTTCCTCCAGTTTTTCTCAAGGAAGTAAAGGAGCACAAAACACAAACACACAACAGGAGTTCTGATACCCAAAATACTCTTCTGTGATATACTTTTTATCACATTTAAGTCCTTTTTACTCAAACACTTGAGGGAGCGTTAATCATTATACTGTCAAGGAAAGAGAAAAAGACAAGACACTCTAAGATTTTCTAGAATTTCCTAAGGCTTGGCCTCACCCCACCCCCACAAGTCCTCCTTCCTGTCAGCTGACTGTAACTCTCATTAGTGTGATGCCTCTTAAATATTTTCTGTAAATCCATAAATCGAACACACCAAGTACCAATAAGAGGATAAGAGTTTGAGGCTTTTACTCTGTAGTCTTCACAATTTCTTTTTCCTGTAATTTTTTAAAAGAAATAAAGTAAGTTAGGTTCTAAATAAGTAACAAAGCAGGATTTCCTGTCTCCTCTACTCCTATTTTCAGGAAAAATTCTCTCTAAAAACTGATTCTCAACACTTCAATTTACTGAGAATCTCCTACCTTACTCAGCCATTTCCTTCAACCTTTCAACTTTGACCTTCCTTTAGACTCCTTCATCCCTCCAAAGTGGAGAAGGGTGGCTTTTCGGGGAAAATGGAACTTTGCTGAATTATATGCATGGGGATCATGAGGTATAGATAAAACCTAGCCTTCATTTCTCAAAGTACTAAAGATATTCCTTCTTCAGGAAGAAGGAAAAAATGGAGTTCATTTAAGTAAAACAATACACATAGAAAGAGCACTAATCTCCAGGTGGCAGGATTTCTCTACATTTTCTGTATTTCCAAGCATTCTACAAAAATTATGTGTCAGTCTTTTTTTTTTTTTTTTTTTTTAGACAAAGTCTCACTGTTGCCTGGGCTAGAGTGCTGTGGCATGAGCCTAGCTCACAGCAACCTCAGACTCCTGGGCTCAAGCAATCCTTCTGCCTCAGCCTCCCGAGTAGCTGGGACTACAGGCATGCGCCACCATGCCCAGCTAATTTTTTCTACATATTTTTAGTTGTCCGATTAATTTCTTTCTATTTTCAGTAGAGATGGGGTCTTGCTCTTGTTCAGGCTGGTCTCAAACTCCTGACCTTGAGCGATGCTCCCGCCTCGGCCTCCCAGAGTGCTAGGATTACAGGCGTGAGCCACGGCCTGGCTAATTATGTGTGAGTCTTACAATTAGGAAAAAAGAAAAGGAAGTAGAGTAATATTTCATATCTATTAAATTAATATAAATAAATTAAAATGATAAAAACCAAATGCTGATGAAGCTCTGGGGAATGTGTCCTTAGATTGTGCTACTAGTGTTAGAAAATAGTACTATCTGAGAACAAGCTGAAAATATGTAAGAATAAATAAATCATATCTTTTGATGTAAGAAGAATGTTTAATGAATTACATCTTTTTTTTCCACTCCTCCCCACTCAAATTACATCTTTTGACCATGATTATATCACTTCAGTAATACACTCCAAAGAAAATAAAAACAAAACATTTCTGCCAAGATGCTTAGAGCTTTTCTATTATGCTAGAAAAGAATCTAATTATTGGAGAATGATTAAATAGTATAATGAAATATATTGCCATAAAAGGATAACTACATGAACTAGGAAGATACATAGGAAAGTCTATATAAAAAAGCCCAAACAAAAAATAAAGAACACAAAACAATGAGCATACAGTGACCAAAACTATGTAAAAACTAGTTATGTAATGATAAGGACTAAAAAGGCTCAAGAGTCTTGTGCACAATTGGTAAGAATTACTCTTTTTTTCCTGGCTTACTTAGCCTTTTCTTCTCTCTTCTAGTGAAAAGAGAAGAAAAAGGGGTGTGTGTGTGTGTGTGTATGTGTGTGTGTGTGTGTTGTTCAGATGACTATTTAATTTACATGATAAGAATAAGAAAAAATTCCAAACCCATAAGCTTCTAGAGTTTTAGTACAAATTTCTTGCATTCCAATGTATTTCTTCTGTTTATTGCCCTGATGCTTTTCTTTTTTTTTTTTTTTAGTCTCACTGTGTTGCCCGGGCTAGAGTGCCACGGCGTCAGCCTAGCTCACAGCAACCTCAAACTCCTGGGCTCAAGCAATCCTTCTGCCTCAGCCTCCCAAGTAGCTGGGACTATAGGCATGTGCCACCATGCCAGTCTATTTTTTCTATATATTTTTAGTTGTCTGATTAATTTCTTTCTATTTTTAGTAGAGACGGGTCTCGCTCTTGCTCAGGCTGGTTTCGAACTCCTGAGCTCAAACAGTCTGCCCGCCTCAGCCTCCCAGAGTGCTAGGATTATAGGCGGTGAGCCACTGCGCCCCGGCCTGCCCTGATGCTTTTCAGTTAAACATAAAATGTGGGAAGAGGGAGAGCTAATGTCTTTTGAGAATACAGTTGTTAACATGTTTTCAATTTTTCCCAGTTTCCTTAGATTTCAAAGACATGTAGGGCCATGCCAGTTGTTCCTATCCAATAAACAGTTATGTTAATATCCATGAAGATAGTGTTATATGGTAGGAGTACTAAATTTCAGTCCTGTTCTGATTTAATTAGCCATATGACGCTGGGCATGTCAATTAACTTCTCTGACCTCATCTGTTCTCATCTGTTAAATTGGATTGTAATATCCTGACTGAAAGCAGTGAGCTGGATTAAATAACCTCTTAAAGTCCCTTATGGTTCTAGGATCTATATGTCAACAATTTTGATGGGGATTCCTCACTCATTGTAACTCATTGATAATGAGTTAGAAAGCTAGAGGAAATGACTCTTTTATATATTCATCTGGATATATACCTACGTTGTCTAATTCAGGAGTATAATAGCTGGAAGATAGAGGTGGCTATATTAGTATTTGAGGGGGCCAGAATGACTTCATCTGCCCCCCAAAGATCATTGTGGCATTTCTTTTTTCTAGTAATGGTAATAGGTTACATTAATTCATCTACCACACATTCGCTCATAGGAATCAGAACTGTCATATTCAACTAAACCACCTGACTAGAATATCCTATCTGACCTGAATAAGCTATCTATTCACCAAAGATAGAAAATAAGTTATTTGAGTTCCTTTTATTTAATAAATACAAATTATTGACCACTGGGGGATAAAAACAAGCTCACTTTGAAAGAAATTATAGGCTGGGGAGTGTATAGATTCATATATGACTATTATAGGGAGCATGATATAAGCGTCCAAAAAGAAGTAAAAAGAAAATTCTGTAGGAAGAAGAGAAGAGTGAAGTTAATTTTATTTGGAAGAAATTGAGGTAAGGCTTCACAGTCTTGACAGACCTTAAGGAGTAAGATTCAAAAGGTAGCACTTGGGAGATGGACATGAAATTGAAAGAATAAGCAGTAATCCAAGACTTGAGTGTAAGATCGTCTATGAAACTAGAAAGACAGGATGAGCTCAGACTGTAGAATACCTCAATATTAAATATGCATTACTTTTGAGGCATCAAAAGTTCCTGATCAAGGGTAACATAATTTACAACTATGTTTAGAAAAATAAATAGCAACAGTGTGGAGAAAGGATGGGAAGAAAGAAATGAGAGGCCGATGAGAGAGGTTGTAGCAATACTATAAGCAAGATGTGACAAGGCCAAACCATGGAACTGGATATGGGACCAGAAAGAACAGCCCATACCTGACAGATGTTTGGAGGGTGGACTTATTTAGAGGGCTTAGGAAGTGACTGACTTCAGGAGAAGGAGGCAGGCAGGGAAGAACTGATTCTCAGACTTATAGATCAGAAGACTGGGTGAATCGTGATGCTTTAAAGGACAGCAGGGGTAGAGCAGGTTTTTGTTGGTAAGATAATGGATTCTTTTTTAGCCTTCTTGAATTTGAGGGCCTAAGGGATATTCACAAAGAGATGTCTGATCTGACAGGAAATCAGAAATATAGGGCTAAAGCTTTGGTTAAGATTTCAGGATTAAAATCTAGAGTTGGGAACCACCTCTTAGAGTCAAGGAAACAGATGAGACTACACAGGGAAAGAGAAAAAGACAAAGCAGAGACCGGGAAGAGAGAAGTAAGCGGACAAGAACAGAATCTGTCTCAGACAAAAGGGAGCAAGAGACACTAAGTGAAATTCAGGCCAGTCAACTTCACCTCCTGTAAATAACTCTGATAAAAAGATTTAGGAGGATGAGACATTAGACCATCTATTTCCATTGACTATGTGCTCCTTCATCCCACTTCCCTAGTTAGTTGAGATTCAGTCTGGTTCTCTAAAATTCAATTACAGAACCAGAGTCACACAATTTGCACCCAATGTATTCATTCGTCACACTGAAGTACTAATTTGTTAGCTCTGAGATATACATTCTTGTATAATCCTGCTCCTGAAAGGATTTCTAGTGTCCTTACCATACTTCTCAGAGATTCCTTACAAAGATCCAAATAGGTAACTTCTTGATGAAAGCCTTATCCCTGTTAAAACTGAAATTAAGTTAACAATAACCATAATCTGGTTTCAAACTGATTAGTTATTTCTTAACCTAAAGAAGACCAAACTTTTCTTGACAAGTTTGATTGAAATATTAGGTAAAACTTTTTAAAGTAATCTAGACTGTTTTCAACATGGATAATGATGCTTGGATAGAAACAGCTATAAAAAACCAAAGATGGCTATGCTTTGAACTCCCTAAGCAGTCCATTAAGTAATAAGTGACTAATCAGGAAATAAAAAATGATATACACACAAAAACAACCAAACCTAAAGAAGCCCAGATGGATCTTAGAACTCTTCCATCTTCCTATACCTTTAGCAATCAAGTTGCCCAGTGCCATCAGCGATCCAGTAGGATCTTTATATAGGAAGTATAGAGAGCCTCTCCCGCCAAGCATAAAGAGATAGGCTTGTTCTGACCCATCTCTCCCTAGACATCTATGAGAAAAGTTTCTCATCAGATCCTTACACATAATCAGCATTTTTGTTTGCTGCAGTCCCAGTCATTTCCTACCTTAGGCCAGTTTTGACACGCACCAGCCTTTTGCACTGAATCTACATTGTGTGTGCTGGCATGACATCAGCTGTCCTGCCCCTAGCAGGGTCTGTGAGGAGGAGACTTACAATGGTGCTTTGAGTCACAACAAAGCCCCTTCCTCTCTATTTAAAGATTTCTGACATTTTTCCCTTCTATTTAAAATTCTTCTTCCTATTTAAATAAAAGAAACATTTTATTAAAACTATAAAGGGGAAAGAGGGAGTTGGCAGGACTAGAAAACTAAAAACTGAGAGGGAAGAGTTTCAGAAAAGTTACGAAACTGCTTTGTGGTTACATCTCTTGCCAGCTGGTTTTAAAGTAGAGCTAAAGCTCATGCACAGAAAAGATAGAACAAATCTCCAAAAATTCTTTCTATGTCTTCAAACATGATCCCAAACATTCAAGAACTTTTCTAATTCTAAGCAGAGAAGTGACTGGCACTGCAAGTTATGGGAAGGGATTGACAATGTCAAACCTAATGTAACTGAGGACTACAGGATGAGTTACCTATATTTTTTTAATCTCAGAAAGAATGCTTCAAACTATTTACAGATATAGGGATTTGAGCCAAATATTTAGCTTAAAAATTGAGCTTTCCCATCTAGATGGAATCTAGAGTAAATGATGGCTTTGCTCCCCCTCAGATCTGTTTATTTCATTATAATGACTGTTGTAACAAACCATCCCTGTGTACAAAGCCAGATACGTAGGAAAGTATGAGAAAACTGGAAAAATTTACCAGCTCTGCGGCCTCTGGACTGTGTTATAAGTCACCAGCATATGTAACTCATTTTCTAGTTAAGTAATTCCCTCTGGGGACTCGGTCTGCAATCCACATGAAGGATCAAATTTCATTAGCAGTTGTAGGAAAATGCAACCCGTGCATTTGCAAGTCAAAACTCCAAAAAGATAGAGCTAGCCTGGCTATCTTCATTGATTTTTCCTGGGAGAGGATTTTAGCTGATAGAAAACATTTGTTGGAAGGCACAGATGAGGAAGTTGAGAAGAGAAGGGATTCAGCTAGCAAAGAGACAAGTAAGCCTCAGTCTCAATGTTAAACTCTGGCTTTAACACTCAGTCTGCAGCTGTGTCCAAGTAGAGAGAGATTCAGCAAGTAATTCCACCCCCAAAGCTCCAAATGACAAAAGGCACAGGAAGACAAATTAAAAGGGCAAGTGTACAAAAACACCCAATCCAATCAGTATCAAATGTTCTTCATTTCTAGATATTAACTCGAATCTCAGTAGGAGCTGGATTTAACATGAATTTGGGTTGCAGACTCGCAATTCTTAGCATCTATGTAAATAATTCATTTGAGACTTACTAACTCATCTAACTCAATCAAAAGACAAACTGACCACATATCTGCCTCTACTCAAAATGTCTAGATTAGAAAAATAGCTTTGTTTAGAACTTGAATTGTCTTTCTCAAGTTTTAAACCCTCCCAGGTCTTACCTTGGTTTGAGTTGGTTCACCTTTCTCAAACATCATCTTTAGCCTGTTCAGTGGAACATTATATTTCTCTATTTTGCCTGAAGCTTCTGTGTTTTCACTGATTTCAGATTTTTCTACTTCATGCCTGGATTCTCCCAGACAATTTTCCATTTTTTTACTCTCTGTTGAGTGGTCTTTAAGATCCTCACTGTCCTTGATGCGAGGATACCGATACTGAATGTGGGCTTCAGGAGATGACCCGAATTTAGGTCTGGGGTAAATTTGTTCCTCTCGGTCAGCTTCGGCTCCAGAAGCAGTGTTGCTTGTCACTTGAGCAGGAGGATGGTCGACTCTGTGCCTGATCTCGGTGCTGCTGTTTCGAAGAGAGTCTGTGTGAGACTCTGTTCCCAGCCCTGGGTTCTCCCACTTCTTCTTTAACACAGTCAGGGTCCCCCTTCTAAAGTGCTGGGGAAGATTCTCAGTGTTCTATAAGAACAAGAAGTAAGTGCTAGTTATAACTTGCCTGCTGAAACGTTCAAACATGTTGTTCTTTGTAAAATGAAAGTTAAAACTCCAAGCTGCTCCTGGTCCACTGCTGTTTCAGACAGCTGTGAACGGTTACAGCCTTGCCACATGGAGAAAGCATCCACCCCAGGAGAGGGAGAGGGGAAAAGAGAAAAAAGTCAGAAGCTGAAGCAGGAAGTGATAAAACAGGATAGCCTTATAAGGACAAAATGAGAAGAAAGGCGAGCCCATCTCTAATGATAGTTGCATGGGAGACAAGAGATTTTTATCCAAAGATTAATGGGGAAAACAAGAAAGAAAAAGCAAAATACCAGGTGCTTTAAACACTGTAACTGTGCATTAACAAAAGTTCATCATTACATGCTTTTTTTTTTTTAAATAAAACAAAGATGCAGCAAAGCTGAAACTATACGAAACCAATAATTATGGGTAGGAACATCAAAAATTGAAACTATTTGTAGAAACCTCAAGAAGTCACCAGACTTTTCCAAGTATTTGCATAAATATTTAGTTATATCTGACATAATTTACATGCATATATGTGAACAGTCAAATTTTATCTTTACATAAGAATCCTCTTTTTTTCCTGCTCTACATGTTTACCCATGTATAAAGTCTCAGTTATCAGAAAATTCACTGTTTTACAGATCCTTTAGTGAAAAATATGCAGGCTTCAAATGAAAACACCACCACCACTCACTTTCATGATCAAAGGCCACACATTTACACATCTAAGAGACCCACTTTTATCTGGGTCCAAAATGGAATTAATTTATACATAAGACAGATTGAAAACAATCTGGAAATTGCCTATTATTGTTGTTCCACAATAATAGAGGAAATATGCTTGCTGAAGTAAAATTAAATGCTCATACTTTGAAAGTACTATACTCCTAAATAAACTGAACAGCACCACCTTCCCAACAAATGGCAAACTCCAATACCTTCTTATTCTCCATTCCTGTAGTCTGTGACTCATCGGTCTTTCAACTAAGAAAGAAAAAACAAACAACCCAGGACTGAAAGACTTCGGGGAATTAAACAGGATTAGCAGCTATATTGGGAATTAAGTCTCTCACCCTGTTACTCTTCTGAATACACTATGAGAGCCACTTCATCAAGTAGCAACAAGGCTTGAAAAAAATGTGATAGAAGAACAACTGCTTGATTCTAGTGTCTAAATCTTAGCTTACAAGATGATCCACTGGGGGAAGCATGTATTATTCAGAGATATAAGAAGCATCAAAAGTTTTATTGCTGGAAAAGAGAGAATTAAAAATCAGCTCCAGAAGCTGGTGCTACCTTAACCGCCAGCAGCACTCTTGGCTCTGCATATCTCATGCCACACAATGGATGAGTCACCTAGGCCTCCGACTTCACCTGCCCTACCCTGCCCGCACAGGAGCCCAGAGAAGCAAAGTGGCATTGTACCTTGGGAACTGGACACTACTTTTCTCAGACACATATCACGTGATCAAAGTATACTTACTGACATGGAAAGATGCTCAGAAGATACTTTTGAGTGGAAAAAGCAAATTATAAGACAGAATGATCCCATTTTGTAATATGCATGTATATTTATAAATATAAGCAGAGAAAAGCAGTCTAGAAGAAAAGACATCAGGATGTTAACAGGTTATCTCTGGACAATGGATTATAGGTACTTGTATTTTCTTTTTACAATAAACGTGTGTTCATTGTAATAAAAATGAATGCAGGGCCGGGCGCGGTGGCTCACGCCTGTAATCCTAGCTCTCTGGGAGGCCGAGGCGGGAGGATTGTTTGAGCTCAGGA